CTTAAGGAGCTTTACAACCATTTATTGATTTCTTACTGTGTGCTGGCCTTTGTGTAAGTGCTTTATGTCTTAGTTCATTTAATCCCTTCAATTTCCCATAGCCTAAGATAATTAAAAAACCAAAGGGGAAGAACATGCTAGGCATTTCTCAAGCTGAAAGAACTGAAGAAAAAATTCAAGCCTTGAGTTGCAATATTGAAGGATTCCATGGGCAAAATATTGAATGATGCAGGAAGCATCAAAAGAAGGTGAAAGGAATACATGTTTACTGTCAGCTATTTCAGGAAGTGGCATATGATGACAAAGCCATGGTACTGAAGGGAGAAGTCAAAGCTGCACTGAAGGAAATGGTGCAAAACAAAGCTCCAGGACTTGATGAAATACCCATTGAGATGTTTCAACAAATGGATGCTGAACAGGAAGCACTTACTTGTCTATGCTAAGTAATTTGGAAGACAGCTTCTTGGCCAATTGACTGGAAGAAATCCATATTTGTGACTATTCCAAAGAAAGGTGATCCAACAGAATGTGGACACTATCGAACAATATCATTAATATCACATGCAAGTAAAGTTTTGCTGAAGATAATTCAGGGAATTATGTTGCTGAAGAGAATGACAGGAAACATCCAGAAATGCAAGTTGAATTCAGAAGAGGACGTGGAATGCAGGATATCATTGCTGATGTCAGATGGATCTTGGTTGAAAGCAGAGAATACCAGAAAGATGTTTACTTGTGTTTTACTGACTATGCAAAAGCATTCAACTATGTAGATCATAACAAATTATGGATAACATTGGAAAAAAATGGAATTCCAGAGCACTTAATTGTGCTCTGTTCAAACAGAACAAGGGGAATTGCATGGTTTAAAATCAAGAAGAGTGTATGTCAGGGTTGCATCCTTTCACTATACTTACTCAATCTGTGTGCTGAGCAAATAATCTGAGAAGCTGGACTGTATGAAGACAAATGTGGCATCAGGATTAGAGGAAGATTCATTAACAGCCTGTGTAATATGCAGATGACACAACTTCCTTGCTGAAAGTGAAGAGAACTTGAAGCACTTACTGACGATCTGATGAAGACCACAGTCTTCAGTGTCTTTATGCCTCAACATAAAGAAAATGAAAATCCTCACAACTGGACCAATGAGCAGCATCATGATAAATGAAGAACAGATTGAAGTTGTTAAAGATTTCATTTTACTTGGATCCATAATCAACACCCATGGAAGCAGCAGTGTGAACAAATCAGATATCATATTGCAACTGAGCAAATATGTTGCAAAAGACATCTTTATAGTGTTGAAGAGCAAAGATGTCAGTTTGAAGTAGAAGGTGCACCTAACCCAAGCCATGGTATTTTCAGTCGCATCATATGCACATGAAAGCTGGACAATGAATAAGGAAGACCAAAGAAGAGTTGATGCTTTTGAACTGTGTTGGTGAAGAATACTGAAAATACCATGGACTGCTAGAAGATCAAACAAATCTGTCCTGGAAGAAGTGTAGCCGGAATGCTCCTTAGAAGTGAGACTAGACACACTTTATCTCACCTGCTTAGTTTATGTTGTCAGAAGAGACCATTCCCTTCAGAAGGATATCATGCTTGGTAAAGGTGGGGGGGGGGTGCAGCAAGAAAGGGAAGCCTCTCAAGTTGGCTTAAAACAATGGCTGCAACACAGACTCAGTTACAGCAAGGATTGTGAGGATGGCACATGACTGGGCAGTGTTTCCTTCTGTTGTATATAGGGTCGCTATGAGTTGGAGTCAACTTGATGGCACCTAACAAGAAGATGATAATTTTAGTGGTAGAATATTTGTTACCAGGCTCTGGGCTCTGTATAAAAGCAAGACTTAGTTTCAGCCTTCCCCCCTCTGCATTCTTATGGGTGGCTTGAGGCAGGTGAAACTTCTTAGAAGAAGAAATCACACCTTCGGACCCTTACCTTAGGAGATAATGCCTAGACTCCATGTCCCTAGCACACCCTCCACTTCTACAAAGCACCCCAACATCTATCTTTGACAGCACATCTGCACAGAACTAGGGGAAAACGTTGGCAAAGAACAATGAGTGCAGTGGTCCTGAGGCAGAAAACAAAGTGGTATATTTGGGGGCGGGAGTATATTTGAGGAACAGAAAGGGAGCCTGTGTAGTGGGAAAAAAGTGAGTGAAGAAGAAAATGGTTTAAGATGAGAGTGGAGAAATAGACAAAAGTCCAGATCATTTCAGGGTCTCGGAGTAAGACGAATCAGTGAATGTAGACCTCTTGGGAAGCTATTGCAGTGGTCCTGAGGACTAGGAGGTGGCAGTAGTGATAGAAAAGGTGGATTCAGAAGCAATAGAATGCTGACAGATTTAGATATAGAAAACCAAAACCAAACTCACTGCCATCATCATAGCAATCCCCTTTGGGTTTCTGAGGTGGTAAATCTTTATAGAAGATTGCCCAGTCTTCCTCCTGTGGAGTGGCTAGTGGGTTTGAACCACCAGCCTTCTGGTTAGCAGTCAGATGCCTTAGGCACACCACCAGAGCTCCCAAGATGTAGAGGAAGAGGCGAATCTGACTCTCTGACTCCTGGCTTGAGCAACTGGGTTGAAGGTGGTGATGTTTACTGAGATGGGAAACTCTGGAGGACGTTAAGATTTGAGAGATACTAAGTCAAGCACTTCATTTTGGACATAAGTTCAGGATGCCCATTAGACAATCCAGTGGAGCCATCAGGCAAATAGTTGTATATTAAATCCTGAAGTCTGGGCTGAAGATACAAATTCAGCAATCAGCACTGTATGTTCTTGTTAGTCACCATCAAGTCGATTCCAACTCATGTAAGTAGAACTGCTCCACAGAACTTTCAAGGCTGTGACCTTTCAGAAGTAGATAGCCAGGCCTGTCTTCCAAGGCTCCTCTGGGTGGGTTTGAACCACCAGCCTTTAAGCTAGTAGTCAAGCGCTTAAGTCCACCCAAGGACTTTATAGATGGACAGCAGCATATAGATGATACTTAAAGCCATGGGACTGAATGAAATCATCTTGGGAGAGAGTGTGGATAGGGAAGAGAAGGCCCCAAGAAGGCCAACATTTGAGGTCAGGTAGAGAAGGAGTTAGAACCAGTAAGGTAAGAGGAAACCAGCAGAAGTTGAGAACCATGGAGAAGAGGGTAAAAGAGCAAGTGGTCAGCCATGTCACATGCTGCTGTTAAATCCAGAAAAAAAAAAGGCCCTTGGTTTTGGCATTGTGTTTATCGATGACCTTGCTGAGTGGATTTCAGTAGACTGGTGGGGATGGAAGCCAGGTTGAAGTGGGTTGAAGCATGAATTAAATTTTAATTGCAAAGGAGAGCAAAGAAATGGGGAAATGACATAATAAAACTATCATTTATTGATGTTTAATATAGACTAGGTACCATGCTATGGGTTATCTCATGAAATTTTTTTTTTTTTTTTTTAGCATTTTATTGTGCTTTAGGTGATAGTTTACATAGCAAATTAGTTTCCCGTTTAATAGTTCATACACCCTGTTCTGACATTGGTTGTGGTCCCCACAATGTATCAGCACTCCCCCTATTTCCATCCTGGATTCCTCATTTCCATTTTTCTAGTTCCCCTCCCTGCCCTTACCTTCTCACCTTTGCTTTTGGGCAGATGTTGCCCTTTTGGCCTCTTATAGTTGATTGTTCTAAGGAGCACATACCTTCTGGGTGTTGTTGAATTTATAGGCCTATTATTTGGCTGAAAGGTGGTCTCCAGGAGTGCTTTCTGTTCCAAGTTAGAAGTTCGTCTTAGAACAATAGACTCAGGAGTTCCTCTAGTTTCTGTCAGACCAGTAAGTCTGGTTCTTTGTTTATGAATTTGAGTTTTGTTCTACATTTTTTTTCACCCACTGTAACCAGGACCTTCTATTGTGGTCCTGGTCAGAGTGGTTGGTAGTGGTACTGGGGCACCATCTAGTTCTGGTCTCAGGTTAGAGAAGGCTGTGGTTCATGTGGCTATATTTACATATGTAAGATAAAAGATCCTAGAGTATGTTTGCTTTAGGAAATAATCTAGTAGATGATTCAGTAGAGAGGGGGAGGCTGATGATGTAGGAAAGAGAGAAGATGCCTAAAGAGAGAAATCCTCAAGAAGACAACAGAACTAACTGGGTTATTGTCATCCTGTTACATGCACAATACACACGGTCACCAGCATTCACACTGAGACACATACATAACTAACACCACCATCATGTTAACACAACACACAGACCTAACAGCCAAACTGACACATTTTTACACAGGCCTATCCAGTCATTAATACATGCAGACCCACCAGGATTCACTTAACACACACAGACAGAACTAATAGCCATACTTACAAGCTAGATAGACCCACCAACATCTGCACTCACTCACACAGAGATACCTACAACCCCCTTGTTGACTTCCCCTTCAGAGCCCCTTCCCACCCTGTTGTTGTTATGTGCCGTCGAGTTGGACCCAACTCATAGCGACCCCTCCTTGGGTTGCCGAGGCAGTATCACTACAGAAGTAGATTGCCCCATCTTCCTTCCGAGGAGTGGCTGGTGGGTTTGAACCTCCAGCCTTCTGGTTAGCAGTCAAGTGCCTTAGCCACTATACTACCCACCCTAAGCCCTCCTAATTCTCAGGTCCTGCCTCTACCCCAGTGACCCTGCCCTCTTAGGAGGCAAATCCAGGCTTAAGAAGGACAGGGATGGCTACATTCATATCCAGTGAAAAGGTTTTATTAAGAGAATGAAAAAGCAATCGGAGAGTTGGGGCGGTACATCGACTGCAGGGTCAAGAGAAACAACAGCAAGTACAAAATCCCAGCAACCCCCTCAGGGCCCCGACACACCTTCCTTCCCTCCCAGCCCACCCACAGCAAGTAAAAACCCTCTCCATCCTGCTCCAGATGGACATCTTGGTGCATGAGCAGAAATCAGTGAAACAAAAGTCCCAACTCATTGGGATAAATAAGTTGCATTGGACACTTTAAGACTTCCAGATTTAATTACAACATATATAAATAAATAGGACAGACAACAATAGGACTGTGAAACAGCCTGGATTCAAGTTCTGCAATTTGTGCTTTATATTCTTTGTTCCTTGAAGGCCCCTCTTGTCCATATCTTTCCAAGAATGGGAAAAGTCCAAAGGGCATCTGAGGTCTCCTGCTAGCACCCCTTTTCTAGGGGGAGGGGATCTGGAGATAAGGGGTGCTAATCCCTCAATAGCACCTCTGATTTGTTAACACTTTCCCTCCCACCATCAGTAAAAAACAAAGGCCTTGGCACCTAAGAGTGCCCACTGCTGCCCGGGCATCCTAATGGGCAGGGCTCTGCCCATGAGCCAAACCTTTCCATGCCATCTTCCTGCCCAAACCCTTCTCAGAAATCAAAGGTCAGAAAATTGCACACATGAGGCAGATGCCTAGGCCTTTCCTTAACTTACCAACAAACCATCACAGAAAGGCCAACCCCCTGGCTCCAACCCAGATCCCTAACTCAGGTTTCTGGATGAATGTTCTCTTCCTGGTTTGATCGCAACCCCAACTCTGCCCACCCTCAGGAGCTAAGGCCTCATTTCAGACCTGGGGACCCCTAAGGATCATATAGGGGAAGTGACTATTTCCGATGCTTGGCATCCTTTTCTGAAGTCTTGGTGTCACCATGGCCACTGCCCGCACTGCTTAAAAACATCTTGTCCAGCCCCTTGAGTGACTCCAGCAAGTAATTCTGGAAGGCAGTGAGAGCAGCACAGATGGCGGGCCCTCCAAAGCCATGCGTGATGAGGCTAAAGTGTGTCAGGCAACTCTGCACGCCGGGCTCCAGGATGAGTGCTGGACGGCTGTTGCCCAGTGGTGAGCGGTCCTGAGCCATCAAGTCTGCAAACTCTTTGCAGATCTGCCTAGTAAGGGGAGAGGGATCAGAGGTTAAAGGACTGAGCTCAGAGAAGGACCTATCATGTGTTGGGAACTTTATTACATAGATGATTGCTGAGCCTCCCAACAGCCTGCAAATGATGATCATACCTATTTTACTAAGGTTCAAAGAGGTATTACCCAATACCATGCCCCTAGTAGCACATGCTAATACCCTGTAGTCTCTTCTTTTTGATAGAAACCCAACTTCTTGTTGCCGCGTTGATTTTGAATTACATCTTACAGAGTAGAACTGAGCTCCACGGGGTTTTCTTGAAAAAACCTTTGTGGAATCAGCCAGAACCTTCCAGGGTGCTGCTGGGTAGGTTTGAACTGCTAATCTTTCGATAAATGGTGGTGGTGGTGTTAGGTGCTGCCTAGTCAATTTCAGCTCATAGTGACCCCATGTGACAGAGTAGAACTGCCCCAGTGGGTTTTCTGGGCTGTCATCTTAAAGGAAGCTGATCTCCAGGTCTTCCATGAAACTGCTGGGTGGTCCAGTGGCTTTTTGATTAACAGCCAAGTGCTAAAGCATTGTGCCACCAGGGACCTCTTAGTAGATGAGTGCCGCTTAGGAATTTTTCCTTGTTGAAGTCCTTTCCTTATTCATAGTCCAGCTCAAAGCTCCAGGAAGCTTTGAGGATCCCCAATCCCCTTACACCTCTACCCCAAATACCCAAAGCATCACAAAACTTTATCTTTGAAATGAGTAAAGGACAATCCAAAATCTGCTTTGGATAACTGAAATAACAGCTAGCAGTGAACACTGAGGACTAGATCCCTAGCACACAGATAAGGCAGCTTTCAGAGAGTGAGATGACCTGCTGAAGTAATTGAGCAGGATCTGAATCCAGTTCCGGTTTGTGAGTCCATTATTCATTTCTCTTTGCATCCTATGTGTAGCTCAGGCAGGAGGCTAAGGAGCACATGACTCATATTTGTTTCCCCATGGAACCCAGTCAGCATCTTAGACATGCTAGAACCCAGGAAGGGCGTGATGAGTTAGCTGAAGTTTGTATTAGTGCTTTTCAAAACTCCCTCTTCCCTCCTTTCCCTTGCTTCCTCCCTCCCTCGTCTATTGCAATGAAACCCTTTCTAAAACACTAAATGTTACTGGAATACCAGTCTGTAAAAAAGACCCTGAGGCATCCCCACAGAACCTAGTTTGAAAAATCAATGCAGTAGCAGCAGGAGCCATTGGAGATTCTTAGGCAGGTGAACAGAGAGAGAAAGTGTGTGTATGTGTGCGTGTGCACGCACACGCTGGGGTGAAGGTCCAGTTAGGATAGAGATGAAAAGACTTGAGTTGGCATGGCAGCATGTAAGTGGTGGTAAGGGAGGCAACAACAGGACTTGCCAAGGGATCAAGTATAAAGTAAGGACAAGTGAGGGTCAGCCAGGGGCCTGTGTACACACTGGTGCCCCTGATAGAGGTCACTGGAGCAGAGAGGCACATGAGCAAGATTCAGACAGAGAGAGCAAGACTATGGAACCTCAGGTTCATGTGAGACTGAGGCTGATGGTGCCACGGGGCAGTGAATGTGAGTTTAGTACCCACACATAGACAGCTTTTGTGCTGATGCATAGAACCCAGATATGTTTACATGTGGTATCCATGTGTGCCCACATGTGTTTATTAAGGAGAGCACCCACATGTGTCTGACTGTGATGGACATTTTGCCCAAATATACCCATGTGTGGTGTCCAGGTGTACCTGTGCGGAATTCACATATGCCACCTGTGTACCCCCTGTGAGCCTAAGCATGGACCCTAGTCTGTGTATGGTACTACATATGCCACACGTATGCATGCTCATGATGGTGCCCATTGTGCCCATGTATGGTATCTGAGTCTATGGATTACACCTACACGTGCCTGTGCATGGCACCCATAATAGCTCGTACATGGAATCCAGAAGAGCCCATCCACGGCCCCCACTCACTTGGCAGCCAGCAGCATGCTCTTGCGACTGTGCAATTCCCCAGGGTCAGCATGCTGTCGGCACAGGTACTCGGCGGCTGCCTTGGCTGGGAACTCAGTCTCACAGACATAGCCAAAGTCTCGGGCCAGGTGCACGGCCTCTCCTGGGGGTGAGGGGGTCAGAGAGATGAGCTAGTATCACTGCCAAGTGTATAGCCTGGAACACAGTCTTGAACCTCCAACCCCTTAGCCAGGGGGCACCCTGCCTCAATTCTGCTTCTGTAGATGCCTTTCTCTGATTTCCCTCCACAGCCTAGCTCCAGCTCCAATTCTGCTGCCCCCTTTGGGGCCCTCAGGGATGGGCAGCTGAACCCACCATGTATCCCAGAGCCAGAGCTCAATCAAGATCACCAAGCCCAGAATCCACAGTTATCAACCACCAGGGAAAGGGGTTCTCATCTTCCTCAGCCCTTTACCACATCTAAACACTGGCCACTCCTCCCTCCATACACAGACACACACACACACAGATTATACACACACATGCACCTACATCTGTTTATACCAGACATACTGACTACATGCACATATATCATAATATGCACATGAATACATACACACAATTAAAAACACGCTTTAGAGATAGACACAGCCACAAAAGACAACACATGTGCCCTCACGCTCATGTCCTCTCAGGCCTCACTCACCCTCCACCAGTGAAGTCAGCAGCGTCACATTGGCAGCCTTGCGCCGGCCTGCTGGCAGATTGAGCCCAATCTTCTCCAGCCGTTCCCGCAGGCACCGGCCCCCATTCTTGGACTTGGCCCTTGACATACACAGAGAAACAGACACACAACTATGAAGACAAGAGAGAAGCATGTAGGCTGAGAGAACCCAATAGGAACTTGCTGCCCCTACCAACCCCTCCTGAGGCTTGGGTCTGGGCCTGGGGCTGCTGTGGGGCCTTCTTCAGCATGAACTTAACCTCTTCCTAACCTCACTGGGTTTGTAGCCAAGGGGGAGGGAGAGGAAGGACCCAGCCCTCACCTTTAGGACTCCCTAGTTTCTTCTCTTGGGAGCTCTGGTAGCATAGTGGCTAAGACACTTGCCTGCTAACCAGATGGCTGGCGGTTCAAACCCACCAGCCACTCCTCGGAAGGAAGGTTGGGCAATCCTACTTCCGTAGTGATACTGCCTCGGAAACCCAAGGAGGGGTCGCTATGAGTCAGGGCTGACTCGATGGCACATAATAACAACAACAACAACAGTTTCTTCTCAATCCTCCCAACAGCAGGATCATCCTAGGGTGGGGCATGATAGTCCAGCATTTTGGGGTTCTTTTTTCCCATATTAGCATACCAGCTAGGCCATACACAGTTACCGAGGGACAAACAGCTATGCAGAGACACAGGGACATGCAGTCAGAAAGACACATGGGGAGACACAGGTACATACACAGCTACCTGGGGACACACAGATAGATAAACACATACTGAGGGTCAAGAATACAGAGACACATACACATTAATAGAGACAGACATATGCAGAGACATACAGACAAGGACACAGACTTAACACACCCAGGCACATATAAAGGAGCTCTGGTAGCATAGTGCCTAAGGCACTGGACTGCTAACCAGAAGGCTGGCGGTTCAAACCCACCAACCACTCCTCAGAAGGAAGGTTGGGCATTCCTACTTCCGTAGTGATACTGCCTCGGAAATCCAAGGAGGGGTCGCTATGAGTTGGGGGACATATAAGGACACAGACACATTTGCACACCCATACAGGATCCCAGGGATGAGGAAATAACCCTACAACTGCACACATGCAGCCCCCACAAAAGTAAAGACACGCACACATACATACATGTAGTTTCAGATGTATATACAATTTCACACATACACACAGTAGGAAACTTTTTAGCCAACATATCACCAATAAAAGAAACACAGGAAGCTCACACTCATGGAAGCATATACTCCTTATCATCCCCTAACAAACACACAGAAACAGACCACCTTCAGATACATCAAAACTCATAGCCCCGAAGCAGAAATACCCCACACAGGCATAAGGACATGTACAGAGACACACAACTATGAAGACAAACCATGGACTCCTATGCTCCCCACCCCACCACACACACCCCAGAGAGGCCTATGCTACCATGGGGAATAAGCCTTGGGTTTTGGGGGTCCCTTTCCTATAGAAAAGGGTAAAGATAGCATCCTCTTCCCCAGGCCAGCCTTGTCCATCTTTCCCAATGTGAGTGAGTCTTCCATCCTTTCTTTATGCCCGGGCTTCTCTCCTCTAGCTCCCCACTATCATCCTTAACCCAAGACCTATGGGAGCTGCTGGGGATATATAGGGTCTGCCCCCAGAGCATGCAGAATCTTAGGTCCTCATGTCTTCCCTCCTCTCCCAGGAGGCAGAGATGATGCTGTGGCCTGGGATGAGGCTGGGCCTCTCCCTGGCCCCCTGAGAAGGCCCAAGAAGATTGGGGAGTCTGGTCTGGGTGTTGTTCAGGAATCCGTGGGCTGGCCTTCCTACCTGCGGAGGACTCCCCCTAGGAGGGAGGCGTTGAGGCACTCAGGAGGAGAGAGTCGCCGCTGCACCTCCCCCACCGTCACCTTGTACTTGGATGTTGAGCTGAGCAGTGAGAGCCGGCCAGGCACGGAGCAGAAGACCTCACTGGGGTTCGTGATGCCACCAACCAGGCTGTCTTTGGCCAATGAGAGGACCGAAAGGCTGCTGACTTTGGAGGGGATGGGGACTGTGGAGCAGAAGCAAGAGCAAGGGAGGGAGAGAGAAGACAACTGAGCACCAGCCAGCTGGGGAATGAACAACATATCATAGTGCCAGCTGGGTGCTGGGCACCGACCTTCAACCTGCACACATAGCTGGATTTCAATGTCCCAGGGCTTTGGAAGAAGGTACCATTCTCCCTGCTTTACAGAAAAAGAAACTGAAACATACAGGTTAAAGTGACTTTTACAAGTTTGCTCCACTAATGGTTGATGGAAATTTGAACTCAGAGCTGTCTGGCTCTTGAACTCATGTTCTTGACTGAGCCAGGATGGTCCCTGTGAAAACTCAAACAGCTAATGGGTTTTAGCATATGTAATCAGAGAGTTGGAAATAAGGAAACAGAGTGTTAGGAAGCAGGATTCCTGGGTCATGGCAGCAGGGTCCCGCCAGACCTGGGCAATCACAAGGAGTCCCTCGATCACCCCTTTCCCACTCATGACTTCCTCCACCCCAGATAAGGGAGGTCTATGGGATCTAGATCCCCATGTCCTGGAGGTTTTGGTCCCATTAGGCCTTCAGCCCTGCGCTCCTTCTAAGTCACTTGAATGTTCAAGGAGACCAGGAATAAGGAGATGTGCCCTACACCACCCCACAGATACTCTTGAATTAGGGCAGGTAAGGGAAACTGAGAAACCAATTTTCTAGGAATCTTCTAGTTACTCTTGGCTATAAAAGGAAGTCCTTCCTGCAGTCTAACCTCCATCCTCCTCCTTAGCCTCGGGGAAAGTAGAATATTGGGGCCTTATTCCTCAGAGAACTCCTTTGGCCTTCTCTTCTTTCAAGGAAAGGAGAGCCTTGTGGTAGAGAGGCCTCATGGAGAGATCTAGTGGGGGGTCAGGGGCTTACAATTCCTAAGCTGTCACTATTTAGTAACCATCATGCTATGTGCTTAGAAGCCCTAGTGGTGCGATGGTTAAGTGCTTGGCTCCTAACTGAAAAGTTAGTTGCCAGTTCAAGCTTGCCAGCAGCTCCTCAGGAGAGAAGACCTGGTGATCTGCTCCTGTGATGTAGTTCAGTTTGTGTGTCAACTTGGCTGGGTCTGGTTGACTGGCTGGGCAGCTGGATGTAGTATTCCCCATGATGAGATTGGTAATCACCTCTGTGTGGAATCTACTGTGAGCAACTGAGTAGCTGCCTTAGGGAATGTGGTCTGCTTCCTGTATATAAGCAGAAGCTTTGGGGAATGGTCTCTAGCTTTATGGCACGCTTGGACCCTGCCTGTAGCTGTGTTGTTGCTCAGCAGCCTGCTATGCTCTGCTGACTTTGGGACTTACAATGGACTTAAATTAATGGCCTGCTGTGTGGTTTGGTAACTTCGGGACTGTGGCTTTTTACTTGTCAACCTTGGGGCTTCTCTGAGCCTCAGCAGCCAGCAGCTGTCTGAGTGAAGAAATGCCTCTAGTTCCTGTGGGCCGGGAGCAAGAGGCAGAGCTGGACCCCAAGGTTGAAGGACTTTCACCCAGCCCCTAGAGCCTGGCACTTTGAACTTGGACTTAAAGCCTCCAAATTGTAAGAAAAAACTCCTGTTTGTTAAGGCCATCCCATTTGTGGTGTATTCCTGTCAGAGTGGCACTAGGTAACCAGAACAGCTCCCATAATGATTACAGCCTTGGAAACCCTACTTTGTCCTATAGGGTTTCTGTGAGTCAGAATCAACTCAATAGCACACAAAAATGTGCTACGTGCTTTCATTTATAACCTCACTAAAACCTCAAAACAACCCATGAGGGGAGGGCAACACTTATTCCCATTTACAGATGAGCAGACCGAAGCCAAGAGAGGTAAAGTATTGTGTCTGAGATCACACAACTGGTAAGTTGAGAACTGGAAGCAAACCCAGGACTGTGGTTTCAAAGGTAATGCTCTCAGCCTTCTAGCTATTTTGCAAAGTTTTGCTGAGCATCTATGTGCCAGACACTGTGGTAGGCCTCAGGAACAGAGCAGTAAGAAAGGCTGACCTGGACTCTGGCCTGATGAAGTCCCTCCGTTCATTCCCTCTCAATATGAACAGTCCCACACTGCAGCCAGTAATCCCAGTGAATGCCCTCCACACCTTCCTCTCCTATCATATCCCATCCATGGCCGTGTCCCACTGCTTTTAGTTCTCAACATCCCTTCAGTGCAGCTACTTCTCAGCATGCCCCCACACTAGTTCTTTTTGCCTGAATTCTGCAATCCCTGCTTTGGTCTTACCCTGCTCCAGAGGGGTCTTTCTGACATACACATCACTCCCCAGCTTAAAACTCATTAGTGCCTGGCCAGTTCCTTAAGAATCAAATCCAAGTTTCATAACTGGGCAGAAAAATGTCCCTGAACAGTACAGTTAATGGGCTCAGGTGGGAACTGAGAGGTTGGCAGTTCTGGTTTACCCAGAAGCGCCTTGGAAGAAAAGCCTGGTGATCAACTTTCAAAAAATCAGCCACTGTGGACTGTAAAATGGTACAACCATTGTGGAAAGCAGTATGGCGATTCCTTCAAAAGTTGGAAATACAAATACCATTTGACCCAGCCATCCCAT